AACTGAATCCTATCATCCTGTCAGCATCTTCCCCCACCATCTCTTCCCCAGAGAAAATATATCCAAGCTGCCTGACCCCACCCAGTCCTTTGGTGGGAGATGCAAGGACTGTGACTACAGTAACCACACAAGGTGGATCCCTGCCCATCGGTGACTACATCAGATCACAGAACAGAGCTGGCTCCATTGTAGCATAACTGCAAAATGACACGGTTGTATAACCGCCCAGCCACTGAGATTTTTGGCCCAGCCAAGCGGACATAAAACTGCTCATTGTTGCTGTCAGACGTATGCCATCAACGCACAAGATAGACAAATAGTAGAGAGTTGACCATTGTTATAAATGGGAAATGTCAGGTAACAAAGTCGTCAATAAGTTGGGAGTAGCTATAACGGAACTTCATGGTTCCATTTTTTCCACAGACTTTATGAAACCCACTTGTATTCATTTGAGTTTTCCTTCTCGGACAGGTTTCTGCCTTACATGGCTTCCTGACTTTTGCAGGTTTTACTGAAGTTGGTGTAGTTTAGGGCATTGAGAAATCCAGTGATAAGAGTTCTAGCTAATATAATCAGTGGAAATCAAACCAGTAAACCAGAAAATCGAACCAGTGGATTCTGGGTCATGGAAATCTCCTGGGTGTCTGCTCCAGAGGGGTTTATGGAAGCAGATTGTCAGACCTTTCTTCTGAGTTACTTCTGGGTGGCTTTAAACACCCCTGATCTTGCAGTTTGTAGTCGAGCAGAGCATGTACCTGGTGATGCCACCCAGGCCTCTTTTGATGATGTTGTTGTCATTGGTCTTGATCATGATATTATTGTTTTTGATCATGTTGTCCGTTGCTGTCAAGTTGATTCTGACTCATAGTGACCCCATTTGTGATGCGTAGAACTGCCCCATAGTTATTTTCAAGACTGACTTTTCAGAAGCAGATCACCAGGACTTTCTTTCAAGGTACCTCTCTGAGTGGGTTGAAACTGCTAACTTTTCATTTGAAAGTTGAGTACATTAACCGTTTGTACCACATAGAGACTCCTCATTAAAAATAAGCCCTTGCTAAAATACATAAAATGCAAACACTTTGCTAAAGAAATCACACAGATTTCAATAGGCATTTGAATCTCCAACAACCTGTATTGAAAACATGCACTCAGGTCAGGTTTTTTGCTGCCTTTGTCTAATTGTCTTTACTGATTTTAAACAGACTAACAGGCAATCCTTTGTGAACCAAATTTCATTATTTATGATATTTGATATTTCATTATTTATGATATTTATGATTTTTATGATACTTGAATGAAACAAAACGACTTGTCTTCTCAAAATGGGGTTTTGTCCTGTAGCTTTTCCTCTATCCCAATAAGCCTTTTGATTCCCCGCCCCCTTCTCCCCCATTGAGTCAGACTACCGGGGACATTTGAGTCTTACCCTGGCTATATTTCATTGCAGTTACAGTTCAGTGAATTACTTACTATGGCTCTTCTAGCCATGGTCCTCGAGTTTACAGTGTGTCCGAAATTCTAGCTTCAGTACTGGTGGTTGTAGACCCCTTGGGGCGTGGGTTTTCTGTTATATCAATGAGGCATGTTTAGGGTGGGAGGTATCTTGAGTTTCTACCTTATTAGAAGGTCTGACTCAAGACCCCACCCTTACCCCACTTGCACAGTGTTAACACCATCTTGCTAAGTTAAGGAGAGTTGACTTGAGTTTGTGATCTTCGTCTGTCCAAGTTGTCTCTCTTGTTCTGGGTCCTACATCTGACTCTTCATCACCATCATCTGACCTCCGCTTCTCAGAACTTGAGCCAGCAGCCTGTCTTCTGATCCATGTCTCTGGCTTCCAAAGACTTCGGAGGCAACGGCTGGTCATCTGACTTTCCAATTTGGGTTCCTCATTCCCTACAGCCACATGAATCAGAAAAGGCCTCCAGACTCATGCCTGACCCATGGATTTAGGACTTGCCAGGTACCACATTCCTTGAAGGTTCGTGACTTCTGTGAGATGTTGCAGCAAATTCCCAAATGCTAAGATGGGAGGTCTTCCTTATTCACTGTCCAGCTTTCGCATCCATATGAGGTTATTGAAAATACCATGGCTTGGGTCAGGCGTACCTTAGTCCTCAAGCTGACATCCTTGCTCTTCAACACTTTAAAAAAGTTCCTGTGTTTCGTTCTGCTGTGCATGGGGTCGCTATGAGTCGATTCCAACTCGATGGCACCTGACAACAACAAGAAGATGGGAGGGAGACCGATAGAGGGGAGAAGATGGTGTCCGAGGTGCTGAAGTGGCTCAACAGTTAGGAAAAGGTGAATATTTGAGGCATTTTTAACCTCTGTCCGAAAGGAAACAACCTTGTGCTGCTCCTTCTAAAAGAAATGACTCAAACACCCATGTTAATGTGGCTGTTAATGAACACATTCCATATAATGACATCGCCTGGTTATGAAAATTTTCTCTTGTCTTGCTCCTTCCCAATCATTCTGTTTTAGGAATATAACAGCTTCCTCAAAAAAAATTCTTTTTTTTTTTTTTTTTCACCAAATGAGAGTTGTTCCAAAAAATTATTTAATCTTTTGAAAGGGAAATTACACAGTTTTCTAATAAGCTAATGTGCAAACATTGTTCATATTTCGCAGTGGAGCCCTTTCATTAAATTTCACATACATTTTAGCAGCTACGTCTTAATTGGTTGGAACATCTTTATAAACACCTTGTTCTAATCCATGGTTGTGGGGGAAATAACATTGAGTTACTTAGAGTGGTGATCATTTATATGCTCTTGGATGCTTAATTCTTATTACCTTCTTAATTGGTATAGATTGCATTTCTCATTTCAGCCCTAATAATATCTATTACAGGCACCTTTGAAGGCTTCTTTGATGATATACTGCCACACTGGACTAGCCAAAGACATTTTGTGGTTGAGAAATTATACTAAGACATTTGCTACAGAACTGAAATAGATGCACGGGGCCCTCATGTCTGTCAGAGTAGAACTTTGCTGCACAGGGTTTTCAATGACTGAGCTTTCAGAAGTAGATTCACCAGACTTTTTTTCCGAGGTGTCTCTGGATAAACTTGGTCAATGTGAACCACCGACCTTTTGGTGAACAACCGAGCGGTGCATCCACTGTTCATACCATCCAGGGACGCCTCAGAGATGAGGCATGTTGTCGGGTGCACCACGTTAATTCCAACTCACAGTGACCCTATGTGACAGGGTTGAACTTCCCTACAGTTTCCTAAGATGTCATCTTTACAGAAGAAGAACACTAGGCCTTTTTTCTCGGAATAGCTAGGGGGATTTGAACTGTTGACCTTCCTGTTAGCAGCTGGGTCTATTAACTGCACCACCCAGGATCACCTCAGAAATGAGTAGACCTTAGACATGATGAATGGGCTGTCAATCCTATTGGCTTCCATTTCATTGTTGTTGTTGTTAGGTGTCATCGAGTCGGTACCGACTCACAGTGACCTTATGCACAGCAGAACAAAACACTGCCCGATCCTGGGCCAACCTCACTACTGTTGCCATGCTTGAGCCCATTGATGATGCCACTTGGCCAATCCATCTCGCTGGGGGTCTTCCTCTTTTTCTCTGACCCTCCACCTTACCAAACATGATGTCCTTCTCCAGCGACTGGTCCCTCCTGACACTATGTCCCAAGTATGAGAGACGAAGTTTTGCCATCTTGGCTACTAAGGAGCACTCTGGCTGCACTTCTTCCAAAATGGATCTCTTGGTTCTTTTGGCAGCCCATGGCACTTTCAATATTCTCCTCCAACACCATAACTCAAATGCATCAATTCTTCTATGGTCTTCCTTATTCACTGTCCAGCTTTCACATGCACATGAGGTTATTGAAAATACCATGGCTTGGGTTCAGGCGCACCTTAGTGCTCAAGCTGACATCTTTGCTCTTCAGCACTTTAAAAAGGTCTTGTCAGAGATGATGACGTGGAGTGATGAAGCTGCTGGGGACTTTGGATCCAGAGAGGGAAAGGGACTTTGTGCAGAAAACTGGGGTAAGGGGGGGAGTGGTGTAGGGGACGGGTTTCTAGGATATATATACCCTTTAGTTGGTTGGTGATGCATGGAGGGGACTGGAACCATGGCAATGAGATGATGTACGATGGAATGAATGTAAAACTAAAGTTCTCGCATGTAAACTATCATATAATTCACAATTTAAATAATAATAATAAATATAAACCAGCAAACTTCAAAAAAAAACAGGTCTTATGCAGAAGATTTGCCTAATGCAATATGTTTTCTGATTTCTTGACTGCTGCTTCCATGAGTGTTGATAGTTGATCCAAGAATAAAGTCCTTGACAACTTCAATCTTTTCTCCATTGATAGAATGTTGTTTTTTGGTCCAGGGGTGAGGATTTTTGTTTTCTTTACATTGAGGTACATTCCGTACTGAAGGCTGTGCCCTTTGATGTTCATCAGTAAGTATTTAAGTCCTCTTCACTTTTAGCAAGCAAGGTTGCATCATCTGCATATTGCAGGTTGTCTATTTCATTAATCCCTATCCAAAGGTGTTCATCTAAAAGAAAGCCTCTCACTCAAAAAGCACCAAGATGATCCTCTTGCCAAACAGACTTACCTAACATGGAGTAGGGTAAACAGTTTCTGTCTTGACTGTCTCATAGGGCGTTCTAGGCTTTTATCTTTAAGGAAGATGGCCAGGCCTTTCTTCCTCCTCTTCTTAGTCTGGAAGCTCAGCTGAAACCTGTCCACCATGTTGATCCTGCTGGTATTCAGAGTACCAGTAACAGAGCCTCCAGGATCACAGCAACACGCAAGCCACCACAGTACAACACACAAACACGGGACCAGTGTTGCTCTTAAGTCATGGAGTCAGTTCCCATGTGTGACAATGCCAAGCATGTAAAAGTAGAACTGCCCCATAGGGTGTTTTTATGGAAGCCGGTTGCCAGACTTTTCTTCCTAGTCTGAGTCTGGAAACTCTGTTAAAACCTGTCCACCTTGGATGATGACCCTGTCGGTATTGAAAATGCCAATGCTGTAGCTTCCAGCATCCTGGCCTCGCACAAAGCCACCACGGTGTGGCAGACTGAGCGACAAACACTCGATCGTGTCGGCAGTCCTTCTTTTACTTCTGTTTCAGTTGACTCCTGTATAGTAGAGGGGGGTATCTCAGGATACTTTGGAAGGAGAGCGAGGAGATTACACTGTATGGAGGTAGCCATGAAAAGAAGAAGCTAGACCCCTGAGTTCTGTGTTCTTTCTGTTTCTCCAGAACAAGCAGAGAATAAAGCCACAAGAGGGGGAAGTGAGGGGCGAGTCAGGAACAAGCTGGTGGCTACTGCTGGTGGTTGCCATTATGTTGGCTCCAACTCACGGTACCTTGCGTACAACCGAACGAATCGTTGTGCGACCCACAGCGTGGAGTGTTGGAGGCCAACAGAAGGAATCATTGCACGCGGCCGTGTGCCTTCCCTATGCTCACAGATGTGCCTGTGCCCACTGTTGACCCTGCTGGAGAAGTCCATCTAGTGGGCGGTCTCCCTCGTTTCCGTTGACTCTGTCCTTGGCTGAGCATGACCATGGCATCTTTTTAAGTCATGGGTTTCCTTCCCCCTCCTCGCTTCCCGGTTGTGAACTCTCCAGAGCGATTCGTTCCTTCCTTAGACAACCCACCGGGGTCTGTACTCGGCACTCTGGAGAGCCGTACTGTTAGAATAATGACAATTATTCACTTCCTGTTGTGCCGCTGTGGTAGCATAGTGGTTACGAATCAGGTTGCTAGCCTCAGGGTCAGCAGTTCGAAACTACCAGCTGTTCCGCAGGAGAAAGATGAGGCTTTCTGCTCCTATAAATATTTACAGCCTCGGATACCCTGTACAGGGTCGCTATGAGTTGTAACTGACTCCACGGCACATAGCAACAACAGTTGTGGCACTGTGGAACTGTAAGGTTGGTGGTTCAAGCCCACCAGCTGCTCCTTGGAAACCCTATACAGGGTCGCTGTGGGTCGGCACCGACTCGACAGCACTTCATGACACAACACGATACTGAGCGAAACATGGAAAAGTTATCTAACTAAAGGCGCATGCCCACAGCGTTTCTCTCCAGCTTGTACTGTGATTGGTGTATATTGCATACTTATAGGGTCAGAGGGTAGTAAGTGCACTGTTTACTAAATCACATGGATCCCGTACGGATTGGCAAGCCGTCAAATCCAGTTAGGGACTCCTGACGTTTCGATGCTAAATAAGCATTTGGTGGTGGTGGTGGTTATGTGTCGTGGAGTCAGTTCTGACTCATAGCGACCCTGTACAGGGTTTCCGATGCCGTAAATCTTTACGGGAGCAGAAAGCCTCATCTTTCTTCGTGGAGCAGCTGGTAGTTTCGAACTGCTGACCTTGTGATTTGCAGCCCGATTCATAACCACTACGCTACTATGGAGTCCTGGTGTGGTGCTGCAGGGTAAGCACTGGACTACACGGTTGGTTTGAACTGCAAAGTGGGCGGTTCAAACTCACCAGCCGCTGCTCAGAAACTCTATACAGGGTCATTGTGTGTCGGAACCGACTCATCAGTACTTAACAACAGCAACACCAATCTTTATTTATTTATTTATTTGAGTATAAACCCGATGTTGTCCCATGTAAACTATCACTCAATTCACAATCAAAACTTAAAAACAGAACTTTTTCATTTACAGGTACCTCCGAATCTGGGGGTTCATTTTAGAGTAGATTCTTCTTGTTTTCCGCATATGGTACACTTCTATAAACCTAATCTGGAATGATCAGATGTCCAGCAATGTAACCCTGACATTAAGTGCCTTTGCCACACTTGGTTGCAACAACTATTTTCATGGAAATCCTATGCAAGGTCATTATGAGTTGGAAACTGCTCAAGAGCACTTAACAACAACATTTATGGCAAGGGTCCTGCGGTGGCACTATAGGATAAGCACTAGACTGCTAACCTCAAGGTCAGGGGTTCAAGCCCACCATCTGCTCGTCGGAAACCTTGTACAGGTTCGCTATGGGTTAGAACCAACTTGATGGCACTCAAGGGCAACAATTTAGGACAGAGGGTTTATTTCTTGTTTCATGGGGGAGGGCGTTAAACCAAAAGGCCAGTGCAGACTGTTGGTGGCACTCACTGTTGCTGTGTGGACTCCAGCTCTGGGTGGCCCCTGTGCCTCACAGAAGGGAGCTAGCTTCCATAGGGTTTTCTGGGCAGCCCCATGGACAGAGGCAGAACATCGAGTCTGTCTTCTACAAGACACCAAAAACCCAACTCTACTGCTGCCTATTAGGTTCTAATTCAGAGAGATCCTACAGGACGCAGTCGAACTGCCCCGTAGGGTTTCCAAGGCTTTATGGGATCAGCCAGCCTCACCTTCCTCCTGTGGTGGGCCTGGTGGGTTCCAACCTGCAGCCTATCAGTTAGCAGCCAAATGCTTTAATGACTGTGCCACCAGGGAACTCCTTCATGGGTGTCTTTGTTGTTGTGTGCCACGGAGTCGGTTCTGACTCATAGCGACCCTGTACAGGGTTTCTGAGGCTGTAAATCTTGATGGGTGTCTTTAGTTACCTTAAAAGCCTCTAGTGGGTCTCCCTTTATACAAGAGGACTTCAGAAATGTCATGGAAGCCCCCTTGTATTTAGAGACGGATGTTAAATTTCCTCATCATTTCTATTCCTCTAAACGTTTCCAGCCGTTTATAAACTGGTTCACAGCCCTTCCTTCTCCCTTCTCTGGTGGAGATCTGGTGACTGGATTTTAACGAGACAGATTCAGCACTGATTTCTCTATTGATTGCAGTTCTCTTTGGTATTGTCCCCTGGCGGCATGGTGCCAACTTTGAATTGAAAAGATTGTCAGCGCAACAGAAGAAAGGCCTGGTGATCCAAGGAACGGGTGAATGGATGTTGAGTGAAATGAGAAGAGTGTACAACAATGGCTGTTCCCAACAAGCAGTGGACTTGCTCATCAAAGGGACATTGGGTAGAGGTCACCCTCTTCAGCATCTAGACGAGACTTTTCAAAACCTGTGACCAAGGTTGCTGGGTCACTTGCTGGTCGAGGCGGTATGCCCTCGATTACTGATGGAAAGGTTGGCAGCTTGAACCTACTCACAGGAGTCTGTCAATGTGCTTCCGTCAAAATTGCTGCTTCTGTTTTTAAGTGCCGTTGAGTCAGTTCCGACGCACAGCCACCCTGTGTAGGGTTTCCGAGGAGCGGCTGGTGAGCTTGAATCACTGACCTTTCCGTTCAAACCAACCTTGCTGTCCAGTGCTTAGCCTACAACCTCACACAGTTAAGGAAATCCTATGGAGCACAGTTGTGCTCTGTCACAACACAGGGTCGCCATGAATTGAAACAGACTTGAAAGCACCAACTGAGGGGTTTTTTTGGTGATTTTTATACAGGGTTAATTAAACATTCTTTGGGCTTTGCTACTGAGTTTGCAGTGCAGTAGTTGAAACTTCCGTGGGAGTCCCTTCTTTGCTTCAAGTCCAGCCTCGTACTGTGTGTGCACCGCCCCGAAGAGAGCAGCCAGGGATGCCTGGGGAGTAGGCTTGTAAGACGTCAAAGCGACTGATCATTCCCACCCAGGAAGCGAACATCCATTAGTCACACCCTGAAGATCGCAGGGCCAGCGTGAAACCGCGACAGATCTTTAAGTAGAAAGTAAGAATTTTATGATTAGATAGAGAACAGGTTTTTCTCTTGCTTGTTTTAAATGAAAGGGAAAACACCAGGACTGTGCCAAATTACCAAGTTGTCTTTTAGGTTGTGTATATAATTTATGAGCACAAATGGCATCAAATATAAATAACACCCAAGTCTGCCAGGCAACCCAACCTTGTGGGGATAGCTAATGATGTGTATTATGACATAACCAAGCTGACTTAGCCAGAATCGGCAGATGATTTTAAAAAATAATAATGTGGACAACGTCTTTCATCACAGAAAATGGATAAGGACCACCATCAAACACATGATCAGACAACGTATTGCATTAGGCAAATCTGCTGCACAGGAACTTTTTAAAGTGTTGAAGAGCAAAGATGTCAGCTTGAGGACTAAGGTGCGCCTGACCCAAGCCATGGTATTTTCAATAACCTCATATGGATGCGAAAGCTGGACAGTGAATAAGGAAGATTGTAGAAGAATTGATGCCTTTGAATTATGGTGTTGGAGGAGAATACTGAAAGTGCCATGGGCTGCCAAAGAATCAATAGATCTGTTTTGAAAGAAGTGCTGCCAGAGTGCTCCTTAGTAGCCAAGATGGCCAAACTTCGTCTCTCATACTTTGGACGTATTGTCAGGCGGGAACAGTCACTGGAGAAGGGTGTCATGCTTGGTAAGATGAAGGGTAGGAGAAAAAGAGGAAGACCCCCAACGAGATGGATTGCCAGGTGGCAACATCGATGGACTCAAGTGTGGCAACAGTAGTGAGGTTGGCCCAGGATTGGACATTCTTTTGTTCTGCTATGCATAGGGTTGCTATGAGTCGATGCCAACTCGATGGCACCTAACAACAACAACAAAACACATGCATACATTCTAGACTTCCTCTCGTGGTCTTCCTTTCCTTTAAGTAAATTGCTGTTAAGTACTGTCAACTCATAGCGACCCTGTGTAGGGTTTCTGAGGAGCGACTGGTGGGTTTGAACCACTGACCTTGAAGTTCAAACCAACCTTGTGGTCCAGTGCTTATCCTACGGTGCCACACCAGGATTCTCTAAGTAAAGTGATCTTAAAATTAATACATAATATTGGTGTTGCCCTGGTGTGGCACTGTGGGCTAATGCGTCAGACTGCAAAGTCGTCTGAACTGCTCACCAGCTGCTCCTTGGAAACCCTATACGGGTTCACTATGGGTCGGAATCTACTCAACGGCACTTAACAACAACAACAATTGGTGTTGCCCTGAGATCACCAATAAACCTCAAACCAAAAATAGTACGAGTCTTCTTAAAACCAGTCCATAGTTTGTTGTTGTTGCTATGTGCTTTTGAGTCGGTTCTGACCCTGTATAAGGTTTCCAAGGAGCAGCTGGAGGATTTGAACTGCTGACCTTGCAGTTCCCAGCCAGCCCAGTGCTGAACCTACTGACCCACACCAGGACTCAACCTGTAGTTAAGCATTAGTGGAAAATGTCTGCCTCGATCAATGTACTCTCTTTAAGGAGCCCTGGTGGTACAGTGGGTTAAGCATTACGCTGCTAACTGCAAGGTCCATAGTTCAAACCCAGCAGTTGCTTCGTGAGAGAAAGATGAGGCTGTCTTATGCTCCCATAAATTAAAAAAACCCTAAGGAGTCCTGGTGCGGCGCCGTAGGATAAAAGCACTGGACCTAGAGGTCCGTTTGAACCACCAGGTCTATGGTTCAAGCCTACCAGCTGCTCCTCGGAAACCCTTTACCAGGTCACTATGAGTCGGAACCTACTCAACTTAACAACAAGAAGGAGCAGTTTTACCCTGACCTATAGGAGCTCTGGTAGCGTAGTGGCAACGAATCGGGCTACTAACCTCAAGGTCGGCAGTTTGAAACTACCAGTTGCTCCATGACAAAAAGATGAGCCTTTCTGCTCCCGTAAAGATTTACAGCCTCGGAAATCCTGTATAGGGTCGCTATGAGTCGGAACCAACTCCACGATACTTAACAACATAGGGTTATTGTGAGCTGAAATCATCTTGATGGGAATGGGTTTGTTTTGTTTTTGTTTTTTTGGCTTTACGTGAGATCGCAGGAGACTTAGTGGGTTGGCAGTTGTGTTGTTCACTGTGTTGTTCACGGAAAGGTCAACAGTTTGAACCCACCAGCCTTTCACTGGGAGAACAATGAGGCAGCCGGCTTCTGTAAAAACTGACAGCATTACAGACCCCATGGGGCTGTCCTTCCGTGTCCTACGGGGTCACTGTGAACCGGAATCGACTCGTCCACAATGCAGTGCGGTTTGGGGGTATGTGGCATCAAACTGACAAAGGCCCTTCAAGGAAAGCTTCCCGGGTAGCGAGTTCATGTTCACCGAGAGGAACAGCTGAAAGAAGGCGGCTCAGATGGTTGTATGACTCGAAAACCCCATCTGTGACACTGAGCAATGCTTGGAGAGACTGTTATGGAATTTCTTAGACATAAATGTGTTCTCCTCTGTTCTTGTAAAATGTTAAAAGTAGTAAAGGTAATCACTTAAAGAATGTCTAAGAATCCAGGTTAGTAATCAAAATGCCAACTCAGCGGAGATAAGATATTCACCAAGATGGAGGTTCCGACTGGCAGAGGTGCCTATGGAGAACCAAACGATGACCCCCAGCCACTTTTTTAGCTGTATTTTAACTTTGTATTGTGAATTGGGTGATGATTTACAGAGCGGGTCTGGTTTCCGTCCATATGTGTTTTGATTCATCTCATTGACTGCTGACCTCTCAGTGTAATGGTCCTGTCTCCCACTTCCTCCCTGGCTCTCTTGTCTCTATCCCACTTCCTTTCCTAACCCTTCGGAGCTTCGTCCTGGGGTCAATGCTGCCCTTTCCACCTCGAATGGTTGGCGATTCTAGGGTGTGCACACCTCCCTGGTGTTAGCTGTGCCCTTTAGAGACCTGTCTGTTGTTTGACTGAGAATCGAGCCATGGGGTAGTGTATTCCTGATCTGAAGAGTGACTTAGAAGTCTTCTCAGGGCTCGACCAGATTTTCTTTCGTACCATGGTGGCCCCAAAGCATTGTTTTTAATGGGTTTAATTATTTGGTTATCAGAAGGTTCTGAAGGGGTAAAGTGGGGGGCAACATTCTTTAGAAAGGTCTCTTGACGAGGCACTATCTTTCTACTCACTCCCTTACCTGGACCCCCTCGGATCTCACACCCAACATCTGTAATCGTGGGGGTCGGCCATCCTCGTTAGAGCTGAAGTCGCTGTTGAATGCCATCGAGTAGGTTCCGACCCATAGCGACCCTGTATACGGTTTCTGAGGAGCAGCTGGTGAGCTCGAACCACCAACCTTGCAGTTCAGATGGCTTTGCATTCTGGCACATTAACCCACAGCACAACACCAGAGGTTGAAGAGTGGGGAAAAATGTCAAAAAGAGGGCAGCTCAAACTTGTGCACCAAGGAATCAAGGCCTGGTGATCTATAGTTCTAAAGATGACTGTCATGGAAACCCTATGGAGCAGTTGTACTCTGCCACACATGGGGTCTCCGCAAGGGCTGGAGATGCAATGACACAGGGGGTTTGTCTGGTTTTTTTGTTTGTTTGTTTGTAAGAAAAGAGAGATGTTGGCTCTCAGGGGAAGCAGGTGTGTATGTTAGACACAAATACAGGCGAAAGATAGAATGGGAGGCTGTATGGCATTAGGGGTAGGCAGGGAGAATACTTTCCCGTGAGGGTGCTGGGCAGAGGGCCGGGGTCTTAGACAAGGGGGAGCACACCAACAGCACGGGGTGCCCTTCATCGCTCTCTTGTCCCGTGTTCTTTGCAGGAACATGCTCAGCTTTCTCTTACTGCTGTTTGTCTGCGGAGCCCTGAGCCGCCCGGAACCCAGGCCCAACTTCGTGCTGGTGATGGCAGATGACCTCGGCATCGGAGACCCCGGTTGCTATGGCAACAAAACGCTCAGGTTAGGGAACACGTGGAGGCTGCTGTGTAAACTGTAAACGGGGAGTCTGTATACAGGCAGTGGCCCATGTTCTCAGGCTCTGCAGAGACGTTTGCGGTTCTCATACAACACAACTTGATAGGGTGGCTTTATAGGTTATGGTGGTGGGTGCTGGGGGCTGTTGGCTCGATTCCAACTCACAGCGACCCCATGGTCGAACTGCCCTATAGGGATTCCTACGCTGTCATCTGTCTCCCATAATGTCAGCTCTTAGCCTCCCTATGTGACCGAGCTCTGTAGGATTTCCTACGCTGCAGTGTTTTCAGGAACAGCTTACCAGGACTTTCTTCCTCAGAGTTGCTAGGTGGTTAGCAGACAAGCGCTTAACTATTACACATAACTTTATATGTTGTTGTTGTTGGTAATTGCCATCAAGTCAGTCCTGACTCATAGCAACCCCATAAAGGGGTTCCAAGGAGCAGCCATGATTCAAAGTGACCTTGCGGTCCAGTGCTTTATCTCACAGTGCCACACCATAACTTTGTAGCGATTCAGATAAGGCAGTGTGGTCACAGAACTGACCGCGACTGCTGGCCCACCCTATGTTTGTCAGAGCAGAACTGTTCTTTGTAGGATATTTATTTCACCCATGTTCCTGTGGTTTCTGCACTCATTCTGTTTGACTTACCCTCAGTGATTATGTCTGTCTCCACCTGAAGCTTGACACCAAATGCAGTTCTTTAGTTTAGATATGTGTGTGTGTGTGTGTGTGTGTGTGTGTGTGAGCGAGTGTGGTGAGAACATACATAAGAAAACATGTACCACACATAATTCAATGACACGATGCCATACTTCAAGGGGTGCCAGCATTCATCTTCTCCTTTTTCAAATGAGTCCAGCGTGGTTGGACATATGACAGATCTTTGCAGCATATGTGGGGATGAATCCTGTAGTAAGAGTTCTTTGAATACTTTCATTGATCTGGTATTTTCTGCCCTGCCTTCCAACTCATTGTGTAGAATGTTGACATCTCACATTTGGCTATTTGTGAAATTGTCCATTTTAAAATATTTTTTCTCATCAAGACTATAATTTCTATTGTATTCTTTCATTTAAATGTATTTTTTCTTATTATAACTGATCCTATCATTTACAGAGATCATAGATAACTGTTTCCACTATTTCCGTTGTTAAGTGCCTTTCGGTCAGTTCCAACTCATAGCTACTGTGTACAGGGTTTCCAAGGCATGACTGATGGTTAGCAGTCCAGTGCTTATCAAACAGCACCACACCAGGACATATATATATAAGTGTCCTGGTGCGGGGCTGTAGGATAAAGACTCAACCATAAGGTCAGTTTGAACCATAAGGTTGAAGGTTTAAACTTACCAACCGCTCCTCAGAAACCCTATACGGGTCACTATGAGTTAACAACAACAACGGCACTTAACAACAACAATATACATACATATAGTAATGTTCTTAGGTGCTGTTGAGTCAATTCTGACTTTAGTGACCCTGTGTAAGGTTTCTGAGGAGCAGCTGGTGGGTGTGAATTGCTAACTTCACATTTAGCAGTCCAGTGCTTATCTGACAACGCCACACCAGGACTAAGGTGCCACAACTAACATTTATAATATTTAAGGTTCAGTCTCTACGGATTATCAAAACAAAACAATACCTCTTATAAACTCCCAGTCAAGGCTTTCTGTGTGAGATCAGTCTGCTTCCTATACTAGGCTCCCCTGGTTTATGAATTGCATTTTAAATTGTATATTATGATAGCCCAGCAAAAAGCAGCCACATTGTCAAAGCACCAGTCTACATTCCATTTCATTTTGGAAACTGATTATAGCACATTGCATCATGGACAATGATTACGTGCCTACGAAGTGGGTGTATGTTACACTACATCATGAAAGGTGATTGCAGTGTATTGCATCATACTACATTATGGAGGGGGATCACATTACATTATGGAGGGGATTACATTACACTGTATCACATTACATTATGGAGGGTGATTACATTACACTGTATCCCATTGCATTATGGAGGGGGATTACATTACATTGTATCCCATTGCGTTATGGAGGGTGTTTATGTTATATCGTATCACATTACATTATGGAAGGTGATTACAGTAATCTGTATCCCATTACATTATAGATGGGGATTACATTACACTCTATCCCATTACATTATGGAGGGTGATTACATTACATTGTTACACTGTGGAATAGCTACTAGTCCACTGTTCAGCGAAGCCACTGGGAACCATAATGTAGGCAAGCTGACACAGAAAACGAACCATCTGTTTCCAACAATGATGGGGTTCTTTTGTTCCAGAACTCCCAACATTGACCGACTGGCCCGTGGGGGTGTGAAGCTCACCCAGCACTTGGCGGCGGCGCCCCTGTGCACGCCGAGCAGGGCAGCCTTCATGACTGGCCGGTACCCTGTCAGATCAGGTAATGCCTCTGTAATTACAATGTAATTTAATCAGGGCTTCCCTGCGGTCCTCCTCGGGTGTCTCCTGCATCCTCCTACCTGAACTCTGTTTTTTTGTGTTTTGTTTTTTCTGCTGCAGGAATGACGTCCCGGTCCCGGGTCGGGGTGTTCCTCTTCAGTGCCTCCTCTGGAGGGCTGCCTACCAGTGAAATCACGTTTTCCAGGCTGCTGAAAAACCAGGGCTACTCCACAGCTTTGATCGGTACGTGAGGCTGATGAGAGGTGGGCGGGGACTGGGCACCAGGCACCGGGCAGGTGAGCAGGGCAACAGGAGAGGGCACAGGAACAGGCTGTTTAGGGGTACCGTTTCACTGGCCTGCTGTGCACAGTGTTACATATAGGAGAACGACTTCACTTCTGAATGAAAGAACAGGTCCATCTGGGGCTTTGCCATGTACTGATGAATGCATTTACGCGTGCACGTGCGTGTGTGTATGAATGGGAGGCACAGTGGCTTACATGTTGGGCTGCTAACCACAAGTCTGCAGTTTGAGCCCAGTAGCTGCTCCATGGGAGAAAGATGAGGCCTTTTGTTCCTGTTAAGATTTACTTCCCAGAAACTCTCTACAGGGTGCCTATGAGTTGGAACCGTTTGACAGCACAGAGTAGCAGCAGCAAGAGAGAAATAGCTAAGATGGATATATGAGTTAGATGATGGATGTAAGAGACCGATAATGGATGCATGGCCAGATGGATGGATGGATGCTGTTGTTATGTACCCTCGAGTTGGCTCCAACTCATTGCAATAGCAACCTTATGTGCAACAGAATGAAACACTACCCAGTCCTGTTCTGTCCTCACCATTGTTATGTTTCAGCCCTTTGCTGTTGCCACTGTGTCAGTCCATCTCCTTGGGCATCTTCCTGTTTTTCACTAACCCTCTACTTTACCAAACATGACATATCCTTCTCCAGAGACTGGTCCCTCCTGGTAACATGTCCAAATTATGAGAGTTCAGTGAAGTCTTACCATTCTATCTTCTATGTAGCGTTCTGGCTGTACTTCTTCCAACACAGATTGCTTTGTTTTTCTGGCAGTCCATAGTACTTTTAATATTCCCCTCCAGCCCCACAATTCAAATGCATCAATTCTTCTACAGTCATCCTTATTGATTATCCAACTCTCACATGCATATGAGGCTATTGAAAATACCATAGCATGGGTCAGCTGCACCTTAGTCCTCAAACTGACATCTTTGCTGTTACACACTTTAAAGAGGTCTTGTGAAATGATATATACATGGGTAGATGGATGGATGGATGGATGAGTAGAATAGAATAGAATAGAATAGAATAGGTGAATAGGTTGGTTGATGGACGGATAGATGGCTGGATGGATAGATGGATGGTTGCATGGGTAGATGGATGGTTGAATGGATAGGTGGATGGACAGGTGGATGGTTGGATGGATGAATAGATGGATTGGTAGAGATAGGTGATAGATGGATGGATAGATAGAATAGGTGAGTGGATAGATGCATGTATGGATGAATGATTTGATGGCTGGATAGAGAGAGGTGATAGATACATAGAAGATACATAGATCAGTAGAATAGTTGAGTAGGTGGATTGAAGGACAGAGATACATAGGTGACTGGGTAGATGGATGAATACAAGAATGGTTGGCTGGATGGACAGATGATGGATAGATAGTAAGTTGAAGAATGGCTGGATGGATCGATGGATAGAGAGATAGATAGAGAGATGGATAGAGCTGGTAGATAGATCAACAAGCAGACATACAGATGAATTCCTTGGATGAATTAGATGATAGATAAGAAATAGATGAGACAGATTGCTGATAACTAGATGATAAATGATATACGAGAGAGAGGCAGAGAACTTGCAAATCTAGACACGCACAGCATAGTATGAATAAAGATTTTTAGTTTACATTTCAATACTAAAATCACCACAGAATTCTGTTCCTGGTCGCCTTCCTGTAGACTTTCCCCCTTCATAGGAGCGGTGTGTAGCCCTCTGTTGCCTGATCCCAGCTTGGGATGCAGATTGGTTGAAATCTAGACAGTATCCTAGGAGCAGAAGGAACCTTCTCTTTCCTCTTATATCTTGGAATTAAACCCTCATCATTTTTTTTTTTTTTCCCAAGTGCTCACTACTTTAGTGGTACAATTAACATTTTATATGAAATTTTCCTAGGTGTTTAAAATAATTGCTGAATTATTGAGCATGATTTTCCTCTGCCTCGGGGGTTGTTTCTCTGAACTCATTTTTACTTTCAACGTTCAAGGATGAGAATTAAGTTAGTTATAAAAATTTAATTTTGAGGATATTTCACAGAAAAAAAAAATGGTTGTAGTTTTCTGTATCGTTTTATCTGGTGGTCGGTTTCTGAAAATTCGGCCATTGAAAACCCCATGGAGCACATTTCCCTTCTGTCACATATATGGCAGTCTTGAGTCGAAATCAGCTTGGCAACCATTAACAGGGTCTGCTGCTCAGTGTAAAGTTGGTGGGTCAAGTCCACCCGGGGTAACACAGAAGAAGGGCTTGGCAATCTGCTTCCAAAATATCAGCCACTGAAAACTCCACGGAGCACAGCTCGACTCTGTCACGGGTGGGGTCACCAGGAGACAGTCGACTCAACAGCAACAGGTTTGGGTTTGGGTGGTGCCAACAATGAATAGGCATTGCCTCTAGATGAAAGGTTGGTGGTTTGAATCTGCTCAGAGCAGTCTGGAAAGAAAGGCCTAAATGAACCCACCCTTAAGAAAACCAGGGATGGCAAGTCTGCTCTGATGCACATGGGGTAGACTGGACAGAATTGGTCTGAAGGCACCAAGCTTTTTTAGGATTACATGCTGCAGCTTGCCTGTTGTTGTTAGAGGCCATCAAGTTGGTGCTGACACAGAGCGACCGTGACCCTGTGCACAATAGAACAACACACTGCCTGGTCCTGTAGCATCCTAACTTGTTATGTTTGAGTCCACTGTGCCAGTCTGTCTCATTGGGGGTCTTCCTCTTTTTTGTGGACCCTCCACATAACCACACATGATGTCCTTCTTCAAGGACAGATCCCTACTGGTAATATGTGTGAAGTATGAGAGATGAAGTCTCACTATCCTGGCTTCTAAAAAGCATTGTGGATGTACATGTTGCAACACAGATTTGTTGGTTCTTCTGGAGGTCCACAGAACTTTCCGTAGTCTCTACCTCATGTTGTTGTTGTTAAGTGCTGTGAAGCCAGTTCTGATTCATAGCACCTGTAAGTAGGGCTTTTTTTCTGTCCCAATTTATGACAGCGTTCACGGGCCGTGCAAAATTATCAACTTAAAAATTAGCCTGCTGTATTTAGTCAAATATTTCATTAACGTGTGGCACAGCGGGATCATGCACTGAACTGCAAGGCCGGTTTGAAGCACAAGGTCAGCGGTTCAAGCTCACTAGCCACTCCTAGGAAATCCTATACAGGGTCGCTATGAATTGGAACCAACCCGATGGCACTTAACAACAGCAATGTGATAGCACGGTGATGTAGGATAAGCGCTCGACTACCTGGTCAGTTTGGACCATAAGGTTGGTGGGTTCAAACTCACCATCGGCTTCTCGGAAACCCTATACAGGGTTGCTATGGGTCGGAAATGACTCAATGGCACTTAACAACAACAATGTGATGGCTGGGACTTTTGTTGCCTTGGCAGGAGCAGACCATGTGGTTTCACTGACCTTATACGGAGTCCTGGTGTGGCACTGTGGGTTAATGCACCAGACTGCAAAGCCGTTTGAACTGCAAGGTTGGCAGTTGAAGCTCACCAGCTGCTCCTCGGAAACCCTATCCAGGGTCGCTATGGGTCGGAACCAACTCAATGGCACTTAACAACAACAACAACAATACGGCCCGTGGGTCAGATGTTCCCCACCCTTGCTGTGTAAGGTTTCCAAGGAGTGGCTGGTGGGTTTAAAGTGCTGTCCTTAGGGTGAGCAGTCCAGAACTTATCCCTCAGCACCACACCAGAACTCAGCCTCCTAGGGGCCTCATTTCAAACTTTACTTATACTGGTTCTGCCGTCCCTGGCAGCTGAGCGTGTGCCCAATAAAAGGCTGGAGGTCCAAGTCCTTCCAGAGCATCCTGGGAAGAAAGTCCTGGTCAGTCTGCCAGCTCAGGCGTCTGTTGACGTTCCTGTCTCACCCGTTGTGTCCTCAGGGAAGTGGCACCTGGGAATGAACTGTAACAGCAAAGTGGATTTCTGCCACCACCCTGTGAACCACGGCTTCGACTATTTCTACGGGCTGCCTGTGACCAACCTGCGGGACTGCAAACCCGGGGAGGGCAGCGTGTTCACCTCAGGCTTCCGGCTGCTGGTCTTCCTGCCCCTGCAGGCCATCGGAGTGGCCCTGCTCACGCTCGAGGTTCTCAAGTACCTGGGTGTGCTGCGAGTGCCCCACGCCGTCTTCCTGGGCCTGGTGCTCCTGGCTGCTGCCATCCTGGGCCTGCTGGTCTGTTTCCTGCACTACTTCAGGCCCCTCAACTGCTTCCTCATGCGCAACCACGAGGTGGTCCAGCAGCCCATGTCATACGACAACCTCACCCAGAGGCTGACGGCCGAGGCGGTGCAATTCATCCAACGGTGGGTACCACGCTCGTCCTAGCAGGCTTCCCGCGCCCCACTGCGCCGCCTCTGAAAAGGAGCTGGTGATGGTGTTTGCTAAGGAGTCCCAGTGGCAGAGTGATTAAGCGTTTGTCTGCTAACTGCAAGGTCGGTGGTTCAAACCCACCAGCCACTCTGAGCAAGAAAATTGTGTCCGTCTGCTCCCAGGAGGACGGACAGCCTCAGAAACCCCATGGGGCAGTTCTCCGCTGCCCTGCGAGGTCGCTACGAGTCGGAATGGACTCGACAACGGCACTGGGTATTGATGGTGTGGAGCCGGTCTCCCGCATCACGGGGACCCTGTAACAAAACGCTTCCCGGTGCCGCCTCATCTCTGTGAGGCTTGTTGACCAGTCCGTTGTGCTCCACTGGCCAGTTCCTTTGGCTGACTTTTAGAAGCAGATAGCGTCCAAGGCACCTCTGGGTGGAGTCAAAATGCCAACCTTTCAGCTAGTCGTTGAGCACTTTATTGTTTGTATCACTCAGGGATCCCCTCAAAGAGAAAGGCATTCACAATCAGACCCAGTGCTGTCAGTGGGGTCCGTTCTGACTCATAACGACCCTCGAGGGCAGAATAGAAGTGTCACCCTACATAGAAGCAGACTGATACAATACAGTCTCCTTAGGTGCCCTGGATGGCACACACGATTTGAACTAGGCTGCCAATCAAAAGGTTGGCGGTTCAAACCCATGCGGTGGCATTGCCGTTGAAGAAAGCCTTGGCAATCTGTTTCTGAGAAGACGACGGCCAAGACAACTCTGTGGACGACAGTTCTACTTTGTAGCAAACTGGGTCACTCTGAGTCTAAGCCAACTCAATGTTGAAAGGTACCGTATTTATTTATGGGCCTCCTGATATGGTTGCTGTGTGCCGTTGAATTGGTTCTGACTCTTAGCGACCCTATACAGGGTTTCCGAGGTTATAAATCTTTGTGGGAGCAGACAGCTTCATCTTCCTCCCATGGAGCAGATGGTGGGTTTGAACCACCGACCTTGTGATTAGCAGTCCAGTGCTTATCCCTGTGGTCCGTCCATCTAGGAAGAAGAAAACACAATAGGAGCTTCTGATAAGATCATTAGTGGCACAGTTGTTCAGCACCAAAAGGCCAGCAGTTCAAATCCACCAGCCACCCCATGGGTGATGTGGCAGCCAGCTTCTGTAATGATTCCAAAACCAAAACCTACAGCCATGGGCTGGATTCAGACCCGTGGGCACCCTAGAAGACAGAGTAGAACTGGCCCATGGGGAACCCAAGGCTGCGTCTCTGTACGGGAGAACAGATGGTCACATCTTTCTCCCTGAGTGGCTGGTGGGTTTGAACCACCAAAGTTCTAGGTATGGTAAGGTTGGGTTGGGACAAGGACCCAGAGGTGGTGGTAAATGTGAGCCCCCTGTCCTGGGGCCTGGAGGACAGTAGGGTGGGATTTGAAACCCACTCCCGTCAGAGACGTTCTGACTCACATCAATCCTATAGGATAGTGTAAAGCCTTTCCACAGGGTTCCCCAGTCTGCCATTCTTTAAAGAAGCAGTTGGTGGGCTTGAACTGCCAAACTTGGAGTTAGCAGTGCAGTGCTTACCCACGGCACCAGTAGGGCTCCTGCAGAGGCAGTTCTGTCCTGTCCCGGAGGGTTGCTGTGAGTCGGAATAACAAATCCAATAAATCCAAAGTATGAGAGATGAAGTTTGGCCATTCTGACCTCCAAGGAGCATTCTGGCTACACTTCTACCAACATATATAGATCTGTTGGTTCTTTTGGCAGCCCATGGTACTGTCAATGTTCTTCTCCAACACCATAACTCAAAAGCATCAATTCTTCTACGGTCTTCCTTAGTCACGGATCAGCTTTCCCATCAGTGGCATCCACACACTCACTTCCAGCAGTGATTTTCAAATTCATTTAGCTGAGGAATACGCCCCAGGAAATTCTCCTTGATGCTAGATAAGGAGAAGGGATCACCCCCGCTGCCCTTCAACTGGCCTGGGATGGAGGAGAGACTCCTCTAGAGACAACTGGTATTTAGGGAGACCTGGCTGGAACCAAGGGAAACAGTTGGTGAGAAAAGGCAAGCAACTTCCCTGAGAGACACACCCATATGGAGCGTGGCCTCCAGAAATATGCGCATGAATATTTCATGCGCATCTTTAAGTTCAAGAGGCAGCTTCAGCACTGGAAGCAAATAACACCCCAGTAGCCTGTGATTTGTATAAAGGGCTTGCCATTTGATAGGAAAATTGTATGGGAGGAGTTTGAAGGCATTGGGATCATGTTATAGGGAAATGAAACATTGAGGACTGCACTGTGGCAGAATTTTGATTATTGAAGGGGTTGTTTTAAAGTATTGTTGTTGTTGTTGCATGCCAGGTGTGGGCTCCAACTTACAGCAACCCTGTGCACAGGAGAACAGAACATTGCCTGGTCCCATGCCATCCTCACAATTGTTGTAACACTTGAGTCCATTGCTGCTGCCGCTGTGCCAATCCATCTCATTGGGGGTCTTCCTCTTTTTAGCTGAGCCTCCACTTTACCAAGGATGATGTCCTTGTCCAGGGACTAGTCCGTCCTGATAACATGTTTGACGTATAAGAGACGAAGTCTGGCCATCTTGGCTTCTAAGGGGCATTCTGGTTGTACTTCTTCCAACACAGATCTGTTTACTTCTCTGGCACCAGGTGATATTTTTACTAAGTCTTCTCCAACACCACAACTCAAATACATCAATTCTTCTACGGTCTTCCATGTCTAATATTCACATGTATATGTTGTTGTTGTT